GGTCAGTGTTGATAAGCCATAGGTCAAATCTTATATGTAAAGGTCAAAGATAAGGAAACGAGCAGAATTAAATATCTAAAGGTCAAAGTTGATAATTCAAAGGTTATGAATGATTGGTCAGATGAGGTATAAATGTTTGATATTTTACTTTCAGGGTGGTCCTATTATGTACAGATTGTACGCTGTACTGGTACATCATGGTTACTCTTGTAACTCTGGTCATTACTATTGCTATGTACGAGCACCTAACGAGGCGTGGTACTGTATGAATGACTCCAGTATAACACAGTCTAACATTAAAACAGTATTAGATCAAGAAGCATATATATTATTCTATATCAAATCAAATATGAAAACAACTAACTCTTTTAAGGAGAAGGTAAGTATCAATCAAATTTGCATACAGATCAGATCCAACACACCATCTAGCACTCTTGAACTTGCATGTTCATGGTTAAAATGTAAATTGTTATGATGATCATGACTGGTAACACAGTAACATGTGCAGATGACTGGTTACACTGTAACATATTCAAATGACTGGTTACACAGTAACTTGTTCAGATGACTGGTTACACAGTTACATGTTCAGATGACTGGTTACACAGTTACATGTTCTGATGACTGGTTACACAGTAACATATTCTGATGTTCATGACCAGTTACACAGTAACATGTTCGGATTACGAGTACATAGTAACATGTTCGGATTACGGGTACATAGTAACATGTTCAGATTACAGGTACATAGTAACATGTTCTGATGACTGGTTACACAGTAACATGTAAAGATGACTGGTTACACTAACATGTTCAGATGACTGGTTACACTGTAACATGTTCAGATGACTGGTTACACTGTAACATGTTCAGATGACTGGTTACACAGTTACATGTTCTGATGACTGGTTACACAGTAACATATTCTGATGTTCATGACCAGTTACACAGTAACATGTTCGGATTACGGGTACATAGTAACATGTTCGGATTACGGGTACATAGTAACATGTTCGGATTACGGGTACATAGTAACATGTTCAGATTACAGGTACATAGTAACATGTTCTGATGACTGGTTACACAGTAACGTGTAAAGATGACTGGTTACACTGTAACACGTTCTAATAATCTTGACTGGATGTAGGGCTTGCTGCCTTGTCTATGCGATAAAGAACTATTTAGTTCATGATACTTTATGACATTGTTTACATGTTGGCTCACTTTGCTTATGTAAACATATGATACAATCTGCTATGCAAAATTGATATGCTATAATGTTTTAATATTACATGTTTGTATGTGCACTTTCTCTTGATAGACTGCTCAACCTGCAACTCAGGTCAAGTTTACAAATACATTGCCATCATCTTCATTGGTCAATAGTGTTAGTAATCCAACAACTGGTGCTATTGGAAAATCTATTGTCAGACTTAAGCCTCAGCCAGTGACAACACCAAAGGAGATAAAACCAGCCAAATTGTTTTCTACAAGTGAATCCTCACCCAGACCTACTACCATCCCAGTACCAAGTAAACGAGACAAAATACAGTTTAATATCACAATGAAACCAAAACAAAACAATCAGTCCACTGTTCGTAATGAAGAGACTAAAGCAAAAACAAGTGATGTGGCAGCAACGAATAAAGTTTTAGTAGCGTACACAAGTGATTCTGACGATAGTTGGGATGAGTACGATGAGACGGTTGCTAGGCTGTCAAATCTACCAACACGGGAAATCAAACAAAAACAGCATCATTCAGTTAATTCAACCAATAGTGATGTAACACAAGTTGATAATGTTGAGAAAGAAAAAACAACAGAACAATCATCAATAAAGATTGAAAAGAAAACTGAATCCACAGCAAAACAGACATTAAACGTCACCATTTCCCCTAAAGAAGACAACGATCTAAGGGGAGTTAATGACGAAAAAGTTGAAAAGGACAAAGGTATGAAGCCTCCAAATTTTCTATCACCTATCGGTAAAACATCCAGCAATGTATTAAGTCGAATGCAGCATGTTGCGCAGAGTTCTCCGCTGAAACTGACGTTAAATAAAGTGAATAAAGTAAACGCAACATCGCATGCATGGAGAGTAAGTGACTTGGAATCCCAGATATCGCCATCATTAGCATCAGATAGCAGCAACCATAGTTTAAACTCAACAGGATCAGATTGGCAAGTTATTGATAAAAAAGATGCTCCTTGTACCCCAAAAGTGCCGGAATACTCGCATCCTGGCTGGAAAGTTACAACGCCGGAAGAGCATACTGAGTGCAAAAAAAGGGAAAGAATCACTGAGACAGATGAGGAACCAAAAAAATATACTTTGGAGGATTCAAAATCTCCTGCAAACTGCAAGCATGAACATGATAATGTACAGAAAATGCAAGAACCTGAAAGCTGCTATCAAAGTGAAGTGGTTACACACAATAGAAATGGACACATAAAAAGAGAGAATATTGATAAATCTTGTGAAAATTCAGAGACAACTGTAAATGGCCATAATGAAAAAAGAATGAATGGTAATGAACATAGGCACAAACGAAAGTGGAAAAAAGATTGTGTTGATGAACATGATTTAGTCAAAAGAAGAAAAGATAATGAAACTGAATATGATAAAAAAAGTACTTTATTAAATGGAAATGGTCACCACCACAAGAAACATAAAAAACACAAGAAATTGAAGAAAAAGAAATCAAAACACAGGCATTCACACTATGATGACAGTGATTCTGACAAAGAATATAGAAGAGAAAAAAGGAAGAAAAAGACAAAACATGAATCTGGTGAGGAATCTGCTAAGGAGAAAAAGACACACAAAGGTCAGTATTGAATTCTTTTTTTTTTACCATGCATATGATGTAGAAACAGCATTTAGTATTGATCCCTTGTCAATGATGTCCCAGTAGGTAAAATAATTTCTTGTGAGCCACATCCTTGTCAGCGATTTACCTGCCTGTAACATAACTGTTCTTGTAAGCGACTTCTCTGTCCCTGTCAGCGATGTATTTTCCTTTTTGATTACATTATCATTTTAGAGTATAAATACATGTAGGTACTCTTTTATTTTTTTTCCACGTTTACATTAATTTGAAAGTCACCTTAATCTTGGATGTATGTAGAAATGTTCAATCCAGGCAAGTGTGTCTTTTTGCTGGAGGATACATACA